ATAGATAGATAGATAGATATTTATTTTCTCCTTCATTGCCACTATTACATGGATTAGGTAAGTCAGAAATACATAAAATGAAATGTAAAATGTATAAGGTATATATACTAAACACATCTTCCATAGACATGGATTGTGAACGTCAACAAGGATATAAACCAAGGTAAGCTTATGGAAATTACATAAAATATGAATTGTGTACAATTAAATTGCATACAACAGATACAAACTTAGTATACTGGAGATAAAATCCATGTATATACTAACACACTGTGTACACCGATACACTATTTGTGTTTTAGTATACACAGATGTGAGTTATGTATAACTGAAAATCGCAATTAAGACACAGGTTCAGATAAAATTACAATATACCAACTGACCTTACACAAAACTAGAGTGCAGGTAAACAATTTTACCCACTAATTATGCTAACAAGGTTTATTTATTGGTTATGTACTACTATTTATAGTTTTTAAATAATTTTCAAATTCTTGTATATTGTAGAAGCAACCTTTGATCATAATCTTTCTCAGTTCTTTTTTGAAGATTATTACGGACGAACATTTGATATTGTGAGGAAGCAAGTTGAAATAAGAACATCCTCTGTAGATTCCAGTTTTTTTAAAATAATGCGTGATTAACCCTGCCCAGTCGTAAATTTTTAGAACTTCTAGTGGCATACTTTCAAATATCTCCGACTTTCTCAAAGTTATTGATGTTTGTTTTGACATACATGAAGATTTTCATGAGATATATACTAGTTAAAGTAGGGATGTTGTTCCGTATGAAACTATCTCGGCATGATTCGTTATAGGAAAGATCAAATATTACACGAATTATCCTTTTTTGTATTACAAAATGTCTTTCCATCTCTGTGCTATTTCCCCATGACATAATGTTGTAGTTCAGAGTTGAGTGAACTAATGCATAATATACATTCAGTAGAGATTTCATGTTCAAGGATCTCTTCAGTTGCTTAATCGCAAAGCACTGGCTACTGAGTTTTTCACAGATAAAGTCAATGAGCCGGTTCCAGTGCATTTTGGAGTCGATGAATGTGCCCAAAAATTTTGCATCTTCACACATGCTCATCGTGATATTGTTTATTAATTTATTGTAGTCTGATTGGTTTTTATGCATTCCAGTAAATTCAATGCATATTGTCTTACTACTAATGATTAAAAGTTGATTTCTTTAGCACCATTCATGAAATTCATGTATGACTGTAAGGGCCCTGTTATTTGCTTCTTCTGGCGTTTTGCCATGCACCACTATTGAGGTATCATCTGCATACATGAATGTCTCTCCCGTACTTATGTGTAAAGGCAGATCATTGACATACAAGATGAATAGTAGCGGGCCTAGAATACTTCCTTGCGGTGTACCCAGTTCTTTGCTAAATTTTTCTGATATTATATTTTCTGTCTGTACTACGAGCTGGCGATTGGTATCATATGAAATGACCCAGTCGTTCAGCGATCCTTGTATGCCCAGCGAGTTGAGTTTATTAGACAATATCCGCGGATCCAGTGTATTGAATGCACGTGATATAGTTATTTTTATTTTATACAAACATTTTCACAGATAGGGAAATATAAGATAAACAAGAAAAAAAAACAATATATTTTGAGGATAACATACTTTATTTACAATACACGTAAAAAAACATTGGTAAATTTTCGTTTTAAAGACACCCGGTGATTTTAAAAAAATGTTTGCGTGTACTTACGTATTTTGATGCGTAGATTACGAATCCGAAAGAAAAAAGCGACGCTCTCTCTTATTTACAAAGTTACGGCCCTTCAAAGTTCTGAAAAGGGCAACTTTTCAGCCTTCTTTTTTACAAAATAAACTATTTAAAAACAAGTATCTATTTACTAGGTCACATTTACACCTTATTCCTCCTTCTTTGACACTTTTCACTTCAATAATCATGTTTCCAATAAAAATGTTAAAAAATGTATATATATCTGTAATTTACGTTTTTAAGGTTAATGGCATGGTTGGTACGACTGATGCTATCAATATTCCTTAAGTAATTCAAATGTTTCTTACCTTCATTCTTTAGATCGTAAATTGGTTTTTTGGTGGTGTATTACGAATTTGAAATAGTAGCCGACGGCAAATACCAACCGCTTTTTTCTGAAATGTCACTAGTAACTAACCTAAAAATAGAAGAATGTCACCAGGAGAAGCATTCGTTTTTAAATTAAGTTTTTTTTAAGAATCAGGGTATCACACAGCTGCACGCATTAAACTTTATCGACGAATTTTTGTTATTTTGGCTTGCGGAAATCGTAAGATTATACAGGGCTTTTCATGATGAGCGTTAATTAGCCGTTTCTGACAAACTATTTAACGGATCAACCTGAAAATTTCACAGTATGCATAAATCAATATGACCTACACACCTAAAATATTTCAGACGAAGCGGCGTTGTCGCTTCTACTATAAAGTAGCGGCTTCTTAAAATCAAAGAAGCCGCTACTTTATAGTAGAAGCGACAACGCCGCTTCGTCTAAAATATTTTAGGCGTGTAGGTCATATTGACTTATGCATACTGTGGAAATTTCAGGTTGATCCGTTGAATAGTTTGCCAGAAACGGCTAATCAACGCTCATCATGAAAAGCCCTGTATATTTTTCGTTATCCTTAAATTATTTTCTTCAAAATAAAAAAAATAGCTACGCTCGAGAATGTCGAAGTGACGTTATTTTTTTACAACTTTGCTGCCATCCCCTTTCTTTACGTCACTCTCAAATTGTCAGATTACTGGGATATACACTTTTTGGCGTGTTATTTACTCACCCTACCTTAATCTGACGCGCTCGAGAATTTCTGATAATTTTTTATTTACTAATCTGGTCCTTTATCCCTCACAGGCGGCCTTATATACGGGGCTCATATTTGGTAGAGGTACTCAACCAGGTACAAGGTATCCCCCTGTATATTAATCTGCCGCGCTTTAGTAATTCCCGAAATCCTCGCTTGGGCTCCCCCATTATAAGGGTTTGGGCTCAAAGGGTTTTCCAATGCAGTGTTCCGTGTTCCTCTAAGGTCGTTCATTATTCTCCAGCTTTCGTTAGATTTGTTGGAAGATTTATCAATTACAAAATTTACTAAATCAAATTAAGACAGTGTTAATGTCTCCATATAATTTTATAAATGATCAATAAGTATATTCAATTTTTCTAATCCATATATATGAAACACGTCAACAAGACAGTTCATTTGTGAATAAAAAAATGTTATATTTTTTAAAAATAAATACACTAACACACATAAACTATTTTTTATTATCTGTTGACTGTCATTCACCGAAAAATAGATCTGCCTGGCAAAAATCATCACAATTAATACGTTCACAAACACTAGTTCGTTCAATCTCCCCCAGTTCAGTTGCATTTGAAATCATTTATCCAACTAGGACTCCATGTCATCCTCGTGCTGACTGGAAAAATAAGAGACCAGTCCTCCAAACTCTCCTCCAGATTCTTCCCCATAAGATTTGCTGGTATTTTCAGTAGTTGTTGGCGGATCAGCATCAACTTCATTCTCATAGGATTCAGAATACTGAGAATTCTCATAAACTGTCGAGGAAATGCTTCCTTCGTTACTCACTGGTTCAGAAGGGTAGCCCTCGTAGTAAGTAGTCGGAGAAGGTGTTGTGTTGGGTGCGGTGAGATAATTGCTTACTGCTGACGTTCTTGTAGTAGGAGGCAGCATATGTATCTGGCGTGTTGGTATGTCTGAAATGATAATTGAATCATTTAATTGCGTTAAATCGACGTATATTTTGAATATAGTTATTTTCTGGACATGGAGAGAAAAATACGTTTATTGTCCTGAAAAAACAAGTTCCTATTGACAAACGTTTCTGGGCTATGTTGAAATAGCATAAAAATAGTGGCCAAAATCTTACCTATATTAAATAGAACGTCAAATACATTATCGCATAACAATAAATTACTATAGATAGATAGATAGATAAATATATACAGTGTCACCATTAAAGTGCGCACCATATGGGAAACTTTTTTTTCGAAAAGTTTCAATGAAGTTTAACTTCGGCACTTGTTTGTGCTTTAAATTTGACTTAAAATGATGCGGCCAACTGCGACCCACTGACGTTCAGTGTTTGTCAAATTCAACTTTTCTTTTGAAAAAAATTGAAAAAGTGCATTTCCAGATCGAATTTAACAAAAAGTTACTTGAAAAAGTTGTGTCTACGGCAATTTTATATCCGTATGCCAAATTTTATGCAACTAGGATAAAGTTAACGTTTTGCTTATTTTTGACAGATATCCCCTTTATTTTGAAAAACAAGTTCGGTTAATTGTCATCAATTCATGTATACATAACAAACTCATCATTTTACTTATACGGACATTTTTAGACAGAAATTAAAAATGTGCTATACAAATTTTAATAGGACTGGTGCAAAGTTTCAATCACTTGGCTATTTTCTTAAACAAACAGGTCGTTAAGTATCCCACACCATACATTAGTTTTAAAGGAATACTGATCACCACATTCAACTGTGATATTGGGATTTTTTTGGGCCCACCATCGGCAATTTTGAGAACTTACCGTTCCATTTGAAGAGAACGTTGCCTCATCTGTCCATAAAATTTTATACGGAAACTTTACATTTTCTTCTCTCTTTCCTTGAAACCAGAATGAAAACCTCAAACGGACATCAAAATCTCGTTCTTTTAATGTGTTAATAAATGTTGGCTTGTAAGGCCAAAATTTAACACTTTCTCTCTTGATATCGGTATTTTTTATAATATCGGTTATGCTCGTTTGCCCGTGTTCGATAACTTTTAAACAAATGTTAAGTTGGGCCTCCTCATCATATTTATTTGGAATGAGCTTTTTCTTAAATTGATTTGCTACGGATCCTGTTTCTCTGAATTTCGACATTATCATTGACACAGTAGTATGTTGAACATTTTTTCTTGAATGCCGTTCATTAAAAATGTTAGCTACTTGCCAGTATGGTGTATTCTCACCAAATATTAAAACTATTTTTATTCTTTCCTGAAGAGACAACATTATTGCAACAAAAATTGTTAAAAATTTGACAAGTAAATCAACAACTTGACACTACCATAGCATGCATTTTGTTTGTCAAGACCTACCTAAAAATTTTATTCAACGTGATTAAGCATCCTTGCCGCCCTAGTTAGTGTTTATAAATAATCTGTAAATACTGAATATTGAAATTTTAATGTAATTTCAACTCTAGTGATTTTATTAATACTTATTGCAGTTTTCGAATTGTGTCTGCTTTTTCAAAATTGAAGGTACTGACGTTTGTTTAAGAAAATAGCCAAGTGATTGAAACTTTGCACCAGTCATGTTAAGATTTTTATAGCACATTTTTAATTTCTGTCTAAAAATGTCGGTATAAATAAAAATGTATTAGAAAAGTTAAACTCCATGATGAGTTTGTTATGTATACATGAATTGATGACAATTAACCGAACTTGTTTTTTAAAATAAAGGGGATATCTGTCAAAAATAAGCAAAACGTTAACTTTATCCTAGTTGCATAAAATTTGGCATACGGATATAAAATTGCTGTAGACACAACTTTTTCAAGTAACTTTCTGTTAAATTCGATCTAGAAATGCACTTTTTCAATTTTTTTCAAAAAAAAATGGAATTTGACAAACACTGAACGTCAGTGGGTCGCAGTTGGCCGCTAAGGACTAACGAGGTCTTACCTTTTAACGTGTGTTGCAGAATCATCCCAGCTTCAACCAGATAAATTCTCTCGTGAAAAATATCTGGTCGAAGCAGGAATCGAACCCACGGCCTTCCGATCGTGAGTCGGGCGCACTACCACCGCGGCCAAGAAATCTAAGTCATCTCTTTCCGATGTACCAATTACAATAGTACCGATGTACTATCATAGAAACAAAAGCTCTACCGATTGAAGACAAATGTTAACTGTTGTCTTTGTTTTAGATTTGCAGAAGAAAAGAATGCTGTATAAAAATATGTGTTCTATGCCGCAGACGACGCATTTTTAATGATTTGTTGCCACAAGTGTAGAATCCCTGAGTTATAATATAAATATAGAAACCTTACCTGGAGAGGGCGGGGGTCGCATCTGATGTGGTAATATTCCTCTAGGGTATTGGTTAATATACATGGGCCTATAGGATGCCCCCATAGAATGTTTAGATCCACCTGAAATCATTTATAAAGATATGAGATGTGAAATGATCAATTCATAGGTTTCTTTAACGTTTTTATTCAGAGCAGAAAAATGTTGTTCCTTTGAACTACATACGTGGACTGTTCAAAAAATGAGGTAAATTTTCAAATTTCACAGGCTACGTAATTCAATCAACGATTTTTTCATGTTGGTACAGAGTGGGCCAATTTGGACACTTTCAAAGGAAAACTCCTGTTATCAAACTATCGATAAATGAAAACTGATGGAGTGTCTGAGGATCAAATTTCATGACAAACTCAATGGTGAAAAGCGCGTTTCTATGAGAATATTTACAAAGCAATTTTTTACGTGGAATTCAATGGTGTAAAAAACTTATTATTTCAAATGAGATATCAATAGTTATTGATGGAAAACTTTTTTTTTAGTGAGACACCTTGAATATTCCTGCATATTTCAATAGCGCTTAAAATTACCTCTCCAAAAATGTAGCACACCTGATGTTTTGCTAGCGTCGTCTTTGAAATACAAAGCTTTTACGTTTTTTCATGTAGACTTTGAAACCCACAATTTAACACTTTTATTCGATTTTGAGTATGTCACATTATCAGCACTGAAACTGAAGTCTTCCATCCTATTTTGTCTATTATGAAAACGAATAATATTTGTTTTATCCGAATTAAAAAATAAATCATGATAATTGAAAAATTCTGATATATGTTCAACTGCAGAAGCACATTTGTCTTTCAATATTTCATCATCTGATGCCGAGATGATCATAGAAATGTCGTCGGCATAAGCTGTATAATGAACTTCAGAAACAACAGAGTCTATATTGTTTACATATAGAATAAAAAGGATTGGGCCCAGAATGGACCCTTGAGGTACTCCCATATCTACACTGAAAGGCTCAGAATTTATTCTCTGGATTTCATTTTTGACCGTACACTGGAGAGATACATATTGTCTCCTACCTTCAAGGAATGAGGATATCCAGTTGAGAGATGCACCTCTTAGTCCNACAATGGTTTTACATTTGGTCGTTTTAAAAGATGCAGCGCATATTTCAAAGTGCTGTTCAATGCAAAATTTGGATAAATCTATGAAATTCATCTGTAAATCATTACGGGCCCATATACTAACCCCTCCACATTTCAAAGTTGATCTACAATAGGAGCTTACTACCCGGTAACCCTCAATATGCAACGAGTGCAGATGGTCTGATTCAATTCCGATTTCAACCAAGCACAAAAAATACAAACTTTTGAAGTTACAGATTATATCACTATATAATGAATTGATTTTGTCATTATTCAATGTATTTACGTTGAGTAAAATAAAATTTGGATTAAAATTTATGTCATTGCTGCATTCACCTGGCGTTTCCATAAAAAACGGCTAATACATGCACCAAAAGGCCAAACTTCAGGAGTGTTTGTGGATTGTTTATATTTGGTTTTTGCAGGATTAAGTTTTTGTCTGTTAGTGCCTTGACTTTTTCATTCAACAGATGTTTATTTTCTAACAAAGTTGCATATTTTTCGTCTTTCTCAAAAATTATGGATTGTAATAAATCAATTTCTCTTTTGAAATGTTTGATAATTTCTTCATTGATAACTTTAAAATATTCTGACTCTGATGACTTACTGGATTTTAGTACAGAGGGAGTACCACCCATTTGATTATTTACATCACCTTGACAGCATATAATCCGTGTTTCATCGATTATCTCATAGTTTTTCACACGTTCTAGGCAACTTCTATGATGAACATTTCCACACGTAATACACACGGCGATTTTTACTTTTTGTTTCACACAGCATTTAAATGATTTTTCGGTATTAACAATCCAAGAATAAATGGCAATATCAATTATCACAAAACATTAGCACTGGGTGAAAAACATCCACAAAATAAAAAATGATGTCTCAAAAAATAACAAAAGAAACGAGTCCAAACAGGTTTCCTTCCAAGGCCCCCTCCCCTTCCCCGCCGCTACCGCGTCCACGCTTCTTTGTATCATTCATGTCAGTTCTGCAACAAATTATATACTGGCCAAACCAAGAAAAAACTGGTCCAAAGGTACAATGAGCACAAAAAGGCATACATAAATCCAACAGTATATAAATCAAACCTTGCAACACACCCTGTATGAGGTNATTTTGTTATGATAATACTGAACTTTCTTTATTTTCAATGAGTTAACCACATCGTTTCTCAATTTTTTAAAATTTTCCCATCTAATTATTTTTAAATTTTCATCTCCCACCGTAGTCACAAATATTTTATAGGCTTCATCCCGTTTCTTGATTTTGATAAAAACTTCATTGTAAAACCAAGGAATATTGTTTTTCAACTTACTTATTTGTATGGGAGAAATACTATTGACAATATTTGAACATTTTTCGAGAAATTCTTCATAAACATCTATAGAGTTTAAAGACCAATTACAAGAAATGATCTCATTCTTAATTATACTCAAATTATTATCACAAAGATTTCTGTATTTTCTTATTGAACTTTCTTTGTTAGATTGACTAAAGAGGAAATTGACAGAAATGATTGAGTGGTCAGTAATTTTTGGGGTTAAATGAACATTTGAAACTATATTATCGTTATTAGTCAAAACCAAATCTATTAATGACTGTGTATCTAGTGTCTTTCTAGTAGGCTCAGTTAATGTTTGATTTATACCATAGGTTATGAAAATATTCTTGTTTTTTTTGTATAGAAACTTTCTTCTAATAAGTTTAAATTAAAATCACCTACCAGAATAAAACGATTGTTAGATCGATAAATATTCGATCAACCATATTGAAGATTTCCTTATCTTGGATAAGGGATGTTGCCCATGCTAACTTATACATATTTCACATAAACGAAAAATATAATCAGTGATGTTCAATATCCAATATCGAATCAATCATTCAAAGTGAATTATTTGAAAACACAATCTGTCGAGCATTCAAAAGTTCACAGTCGATTGATTCTTGATTTATTTCCTGAAATGTACTCTGTAATACTAACCTAGCATGTATTGTCCTGCAGAAGAATCGTTCATTGGAGGTTGGTCCACAAGAGAAGAGTCATCTCTTGACCTACTGCTGGGTGATTCGTCGTCATCATCTGGCATTGTAGCAAACTGTTTGGGTCTGATCGATCCTATAGGGTAATTAGTAGTCTGACCAGGCTTGGTCTGCAACATCCTCGTGATGACAGAAGGCGTTGGAGCAGATTGTGAAAACGGTTGAGGTGGAGTTGCTATTTCTATATTACAATTTTCATTTTTTTCACTTCGCGATGAATCCAGGTGGGATTTCTTTTTTCCGCCTAAGTCAGCAACAGCTTCTTCAAGAGATTTTTTGCCTTTACCTGTACGAAAGTTGTCAATTAGATAGATAGATAGATATCCTTTATTAGTTCTTTGTAATAAAAAACCTTTTCAGGTGTAGAACGTGTCAATTACAGTAAACATTACAGAAATAGTAAAAAAATCATGAGGCAATATCATTAATATTGGTTAAGAATATAAATGGCCACAGATGTAAAATGTAATATTGTTATATTAGATACAGAACACGAACATATATATCTATACAGTGTGTAACAACGAAAACTTAACAGAACCGTTTTTTAATATAAAAAGTAAGATTAAAAAAAAAAAGCTCGGACACGTCGATTTCTAATTAAAGGGGGACACCTTTCAGACTAATCAGATTTTTTGTAGTACGCAACCCCTCAGAGGGGTGCGTCCGACGACCCTTATTTAGATAGGGAAAGTAGGCCGAGTGGCACCTTGTTTAAAAGGTCTTTCGAATACCTTTACAACTCTGTTAAAAGAAAATTTTTGTTGTTTTATCTCGAAAACGGTTCAAAATAGAAATAGTATTATCTGAACAAAGTTAATCTAAAATTGGATGTAGAGCTCAAAAATTTTGAAATATACAGGGTGTTCCATTTGAAAATATTGAGTTCCACTCATTTTTTCATGAGATCAAAGTATCTGCATTTTTTGAAGACCCTGTATGAGGCAAATGAAAATATGACTCGGAGTGAAGATCCTCATAGTATCACTCCACTCCATTTCAAACTTGATCGTTTTAGTGCAAGAGAGTTCAAGATTGTCAGCATTCATAAAAGTTCATGTTTGGTAAAAAAAATATCGAAATTAATATAGGAAGTTACTTAAAAAAATGCTGGCTTCTACAAGGTTTTTTATCAATCTTTTAATAACAAATGGCGTGCCGTTGCACAGCCGTGGTGTATTCGAATTACGAAGCGATCCAACCTTCAGTTATAAATTATGCGGTGACACGCCTGGCAAATCCAATGAGTTCAAAAACTCTGTTGGATAATTCACAGATTTGGTGGCATCGGAAACCGTACCTACGCTCGATGAATCAACAATAATAGTAGCCAAAAACTGTGTAGGCAGTGAGAAAAGGCTTATTATGTGAGAGAGACAGGAGAAAGGGCTTCTTTCACACCCGTACTTCGTGCTGTTTACTGATAGATAAGTAAAACCGATAGATGCCTGGCGAAAATAACTGATCTATGATCAGGGTTAAAAATGATTGAATTACTAAAATGGCTATTAAAAAATAGGGGTTGCTAATGAAAGGGTGAAAATTGAAAAAATTTAAACATAAATTCCATAGAAATCAATGATATTCATAGTCATAATACTAGACAAACAAAATTATCATCCCTTAGTAATTTCAAATCTAATTTTGGACAGAAATCAATTCATCATGATGGAATTATAATATATAATATTTCCTGAAGAAATAAAAGAATCTGAAACTACTCTCAAATTAAAAAATCAATTGAAATAAACTTATCATTTCAACCTTTTTCTTTAAAAAAATATTTAAATACTTAAAAAAGAGGAATAAAATAATGCATTCAACATTTAAAGGGATTCGTTTATATTTCACCATTTGGCAACATCGGTTATAGCTAATAAAGGACAGTGAATCTGTTACCTGTATGAGACAAACAAAGATGACATATTTCAGAGGTGTGCTGTTCTGTTTACTGATGTTCCGAGTTCCGAGACATTCTGTGACATATGACATTTTAAGCACCTAACCTATCTTTCTCTATATAAATAAATAACAAAACAACTGTTGTTTATGTGGCTTGTGGAGGTGGAATTGAACTATCATTTATATTTTGCCTTAATTGTTGATTTATAAAGATAATTTTCCTTTTTCAAAGTAGAAGTTCTAGGTACGTATAAATTATTTCAACTTGATATAGGCGCTGTTGCCAATATGTGAATTAGAAACAAATTCCTTTAAAAATTAAAACCCAACATTTGAAACATCAATTTGAATACTTTTCGAAGTTAATTTGAAAAACTCATGAATTAAACTCAACTTTATTTTGTTCAAACTTGCATTTGCTGTAATAACCCAAATTGAGGAACATTCCCCATTGACTGCCCATATTGATTATTCTACTCCTTTTTTTTATTCAATTATTTATATTATTTAATGTTTCATTATTTTGTTGAATTTGTATATAAAGTTGATTTAGTTAATCCCTATTAATAAACATTTAATGTTTGTTAGGATAATAAAGACAATACAACACAATATTCAGTCTAAATGAGTGATCAAAATTATTCCTACCTTTTTCTTTCTTTTTCCTAGTGAGTTCAATGCCTCTGGAAGATAATTCTTCGAAAATAGGCAGAGCAACCCCCATCGGTGGCTCCGATAATTCGTCATTACTATCATCATTTCTTATCATGTTTTTCACATTACTAATAATGGGTTGGTGGTCCAAATTACCATGTGAAAACCTGATCGCTGGTTTCCTCTCTTCCATCACTGGTTTCAACTGTATCTTAGGAATAACTTGTATCTCCGGCGTCTCTTTCTCCTGAACGACTTTTTCGGGCACTTTTTCAGTTCCTATTGGCGCCACTTGTAGCGGTTGTTCTTGTTTTACAACTTTTTCAGCTGAATTTTGTTTTTCCAAATTCTTGTTAGTCTCGATATGTAGATTTTCAGCGTCGCAGTCATTAGAAGGTCGCTTAGATTTCAGAGGGAGTGGTACCTGTTCTTTTGCAGTCTCTACTCTTTGAAGGGTTGTCACTTTTTCAGTTGAGTTCGATTCGAGGGAAGATTTCATCTGCTCAACAGTTATCTTACCAGTCTCGGGAAGGTTTTTACTGATTACCTGTTCATCTTTCCAATTCGTCGGTTCATCTTTTGATACCTTTTCATTTTCATGAAAGTTGCCATTTTGTTTGTTATTGGATAGTTCTTTCACTTCGCTAACGACATTATTTTCCCTATTCCTTTCAATATCTTTCGACACGGGCGGTTTTTTAATGTAGATCTTTGGAACGATCAAGGCCCTTCTTTCAGAACACTCAGGTTTTTTCTGTTCATCACATTCATCATCCTCCAACTGGTCTTCTGGTTCTTCTTCACTATCTTTTTCATCTTCAAAGGCTACGAAATCTTCATCATCGTCATTATCACTATTCAATTTCCGGGAATTTCTTTTCCTGGGCGCCTGTAATAAATATAAACGAAAATAAAAATACTGATTTATAGTTTTGTTTTACACTCAACAACAGAATTAATCGGGCTTGCCAACATAAAGTTGTTATTAAGTGAAAATTTATAATCAGTTGTAATATCAATCACTCATCCCCCAAAATCACAGATCATATGGATTCAATACTAGCATCGCCATCTGTGTGTTAGTCTACGAACTACTCAGCCCACCTAATTAAACCCTTCTCAGTCAACAGTGATGCTTCAATCAAATACTGAGAGGTGGAAACAATGTTAAATTCACATTACTCAGGTAAAGGTTCAGTAAATATTCAAAATTGCTTTTCCAAATTCAACATAATAACATCTTTTATAAGTAATAATAATTTAGGCAAAATCATATTTAATGCAAAAACTAGACGTGACAGAATGAAGAAATCTGGCATATATAGATTAGAATGTAGTGAATGCTCTGCAGTATATACAGGGCAGACCAGGAGAAATTTCGAAGTAAGACTCCGTGAACACGTCGGTTTAGACAAAAAATCTTCTATCTACGAACATCTACAAGAAACAAACCACAAAATAAGTAAGGAAAACCTCAAAATCTTGCATACATGTAGATGGAGGCAAATGAATTTGTTGGAAGCCATGGAAATCAATAAATCAATTAAAAACTCAAAATATACAGGGTGTAACTGAATAAGTGTAAAACATTCAAGGAGGTGAATCCTCATTGGAAGACAGATAGGATCTTTCACATAAAGAAACTTTATTGGAGCATCCCTTGTTAAGATACAGCCCCTTGAAGGAGGTACATGAAATTTGTATAACAATTTTTTTCACAAGCACTGAAAAGATTACAATATTGAAATTAACCTGACGTTTTGTACTACCAAAAAGACACTTAGCCAGTGATTTATTTGATTTACCCCATGGTTGAAAGGGGTGGAAAACGCAACCCCTAAAATTTATTTCCAATGTAACTTTTTGTCTCATTATTTGTTTGCCATTTAATAATTTATTTCCGATAGCCTGTTTTATTCTAAACAAAATATATCTCTTGGGTTTTTTGCCCAAAATGAACCAGTTCGCAGCAAAAAATTATTTTACGAACAACTACAGAGATACATCGTACTAAATGCGAACTGGATTTATTGTTATTTTGTAGTTAGTACCAACAATCCTGCGTTCTTTTGTCGAATGAACCATATTCTCGTAATCGTTGATGAAGTCGAGCAAATATTCTATGAGAAGGATGCTGCTGTTGAGGCTACATTTCAGCATATCTTCTAGAAGCTTCTAACCCATTCCTCTGCGACAGGCCGTGAACGTAATGCATATCAGCCATTTCCTCATTTGTGTATGTCATTTTAATAACAAGTGAATTATTAAAGTAACAAATTAAGAACAGAACAACAACAACACACAATTAGTATTAATTTAATTTCGAAAATTCACAAACTGACAGCGTCATACCAATTTAATTGTCACTATCGCTAATAGCGACCTACTAGATAGATTAGTTTCGTATTTTCGCATTTATGACGATGTATCTCTGTAGTTGTTCGTAAAATAATTTTTCGTTGCGAACTGGTTTATTTTGGGCAAAAACCCCAGAAGACATTTTCTGTTTAGAATGAAACAGGCTATCGGAAATAAATTTTGAAATGGTAAACAAATAATAAGACAAAAAGTTACATTGGAAATACATTTTAGGGTTTGCGTTTTCCACCCCTTACAACCATGGGGTAAACCAAATCAATTTCTGGCTGTCTTTTTGGTAGTACAAAACGTCAGGTCAATTTCAATACTGTAACTTTTTTAGTGCTTGTGAAAAAAATTGTTATACAAATTTTATGTACCCCCTTTAAGGGGCTGTATCTTAACAAATTTCTTTATATGAAAGATCCTATCTTTTTTTCAATGAGGAATCACCTCCTTAAATGTTTTACACTTATTTAGTGACACCCTGTATAGCTTAACCCCACAGCACATGGGGTGATTCTTAGATACCGTCAATAAGGTTGATATAGTTGAGAGTTATTTCTGGTGAAATGTTAATGGATTTGCTCATTTCTAGGAATAATTGAAAAATTGTATTTTATATATATCAGTGTTTCGTAGATTAACAAACTAGGCATTGTTAATAAACTATAATGAATGAATAATGGCCTGCACTTGAATATGCACCAGCCAGAATTCTGATTACCTTTTTCTGAATGACAAAAACTTCATCAGCTTTAGCTGATAAGCCCCACTGTTCAAGACCATAGGAAATTACTGAATGAATTAAACTGTGGTATAAAAGCTTGAGAACATCAAGAGAGACTGTTTGTTTTAACTGACGAAGTAAACATATATGTTTACTGAGCTTCAGTTTGACACTATCAACAACACTATCAACATGGAGAATTACTTCCAGGTAAGTTTATTATCAATATCAACACCTAAGAATTTAGTACAATTAACTTGATGTTAAGTTTCATTATTTAATCTAACCAAATAGCTTTTAACACTGAGCACTTCAGATTTAGCAGAATTTAGCAGCCGGCCATTTTTAGAACACCACTCAGAAATTCGATCAGTTACTTCATTAGCTTTGACAATTACTTCCCGCAGATCTAAGATATCAGTATAGTCAGCAAAAAACAGTAATGGAAGCTTTTGAAAAAAATTTCAGAAGATCATTTATAAAAACAAAAAATAAAAGGGGTCCCAAAACAGAGCCTTGAGGTACCCCTCTTGTCAAAGGCCCAGAAATCATATTGGCAACCTTTTTAATAACATGACCAGGAATTTCATCAATACCGGACGATTTTTTCTTACAAACTTTTTTGATAACTTTTTCAATTTTCATTTTAGTTGCTGGATATAAATAAATACTTTGATGAGCAGATGACATGTAATTGATATTTTCAGTGTCAGGTTTGGATATGCCACTACTGACAGTTGAGAAATAATCACTGAAAAGGTTGCATATAGCAAAATTATCAGAAAAAATGTCACCATCTTCAGCACTTTGCAGACAAGGTATGGCATTGCCAGTATGTGTCAAAGATTCGGACCCCGGCCCGCAATCGCAATGTATCACAGAAAGAAATGCGTGCCTAGAGAAGCGAGAGAGTGTTAGTTAGGCACCTATTTAGTTCTAGTGAACAACTCAATCATAGACAGTAACGCCATCTCTTAGCAACAAGCGGAAGTACGCTATTATTTTTGTTGAGAACAATAGAATCTTCCACGCGATTCCGAGAATAGACTAGAACCTTTCTCATCGATATAAAAGGAGTGCGTCGGCGCGACGTGAGTCTGTTGAGTCGAGTAATCGAAGCGATCCGGTCGGAGAAGGATTCTAGTTGTACAATCCATTCATTTTGAAGCTTCACAGGCACCAGTTCATTTGCAAATGGAGTTGATAGATCTTCAGACAGTATTTTGAAAGAAAAACCTAAAGAGGTAACGCTCTTACATTTTATACACAATATTTCAAGAGTTTGAATAACTACCTGGAATTATTGGTGATATGATTCTGGAGAATCAGAGAATTACTTGAAAACTGAACCAACAGAACTAAAGAAGTTTAAAATATACTCACGTCTTCACTATCTGATCCAAGGGTATCTACATAGGTAGTTTTTTTTCCTCTAGTTCTCCTACCTCGTCCCATTTCCTCGTCGCTTGAAGTCAATCCGCCATATTTGATTCTGGATTTTTTCTTCTTAGTTATTTCCAGGTCAGACAATTCATCGAGTATTCTATTTTTTTTCTTTTTGTATTCTCGTTTCTTGGCAAAATCAGATCTGAAATTATCTTCAGCTATTTATTTATGCAACCCAACCTTGAACAAAACATACCTTCCTTTCTTCTTTTTCCTCCCCCACGAACTGTCGCCTTCCGAGGAATCAGATTCGCTCGAATATCGTGCCTTTTTCTTCTTTTTTGGAATGTCATCTTCTTCATCGTCATCAACTGAAGAGATTACTCAATATCAATAACAGTGAAAATACTGAATGTCTCAGTTTCAAAATTTTAAATTTGTATATATTTTCTAAATATTTTCATAATAGCAGGGGAGCCCACGATGCAAAATGGGGATTTACTCGAGCGTCATTGAGACATATTAGGTTGCAAAGCTTAGATGATAAGAAGAAAAAAATGTTATATGATTTATACTTTTTCATCGGTGGGGGAAGCTGCTATAGATTTTTAAATATGTAAAAAAATACTGTTGCATGGACATACTCCAGCGCGTCAGATATTGATAGCATCAATGTCCTATGTATTTTCAATAATGTTGGTATGTTAATCTGATCGTTTGCATGATGTGGGTGGTTGTACGTAACTCGCGGCCATTATTATAATGTGCAAAAAAAAATCTCCATTTTGAAATACTCAAGCGCGTCAGATTATAATATATATGGTTCATCTTTATGTTTTAGACGTGCTGTCTCATAATCTGACGATTATCTAGAGGGATTCGCTTAATCTGACAAAAACAATATTTAAAAAAAATTAATTCATTGAACTTAATTGATTGAAGAGCTCAGGAAATAGCATGCAAATAAATAAGTGTAAATTTAATTTTTTATAATCAATTGATTAATTAATGAAGAAAAGAGAAATGAAACTTTCTATGTTTTTTGCCACTTTTATTTGTAACTAACGTTACTGCAGTTTCGTCCTATAAGGACATTTTCAAACGTATATATTGTATAAGTTTGAAAATGTCCTTATATATTGTATAAGTTTGAAAATGTCCTTATAGGACAAAACTGTAGTAACGTAAGTTACAAATGAAAGTGGTAAAAAACATAGAAAGTTTCATTTCTGTTTTTTTCATTATGATTTCCTACCACGTAGTAACGGCTACATCCATCAATTAGTTATTAGTTGATTAATTAATCATCATCTTCATCACGAACGAGTCTCTATGATCAGCTGTGATGGCGTCATGGCAACAGAATTCAGAGTGATAGAGTAATATATAGAGAAAAAGTGAATAGAGAATAGAAACTCGGAGAGGGAAATATAGGTATCACACAACTGCACGCATTAAACTTTATCGACGAATTTTTGTTATTTGGGCTTGCGGAAATCGTCAGATTATATATTTTTCGTTATCCTTGAATTATTTTCTTCAAGATAAAAAAGAATTAGCTACGCTCGAGAATGTCGAAATGACGTTATTTCTTTACAACTTTGCTGCCCTCCCCTTTCTTTACGTCACTCTCAAATTGTCAGATTACTGGAATATACACTTTTTAGCAGGTAATTAACTCACCCTACCTTAATCTGACGCGCTCGAGAATTTCTGATGATCAATTTTTTTTTACTAATCTGATCCTTTATCCCTCACAGGTGGCCTTATATATGGGGCTCATATTTGGTGGGGTACACCACTGCAGCGCTTCAGTAAATCCAGAAATCCCCGCTTGGGCTCCCCTATTATAATGTATCCATAGCTACATTATTGCTCCAAAGGGCAAACACTTCAATTTTAATAGTTAGGTTAGGTTAGGTCCAAAATGAGTGGGTCTATTCGACCCTCCACCGCAACCCGCGAAGGTTTATTGTGGCTCACACCTATTCACACTCGGCCAAATAAATCCAGCTTCTTAACGATGCCGATTACTTTGTATGGTGAGTGGTTTTTCAGGTCAAATGGTAAGAGTACGGCTCTGCCGAACTCTAAAGACCTGATTCGGTCCCCAGCGGGGCAGGCACTAAGTATATGCTCTGTTAATGAGGTTATCGGATAGTCAAGATGCAAGATTCCCACGTTGATACACACGACAACCTTCCCATATGAGGGTTTTTGCACGTCAGCTACACCTGACGATGCCTTAGATTCAACCGTGGAGGGCTTTTTCGCCTCTGGTTTTGGTGAATCATCACTTGAGCGCAAACGTTTGCTAACCTGCTCATGGGGGGTTTGTTCCCCCACCTGAGACTTATTCTGCGTACGCCGCTCAAGAATTTGGTGCAAGGCGGTTTTATAAGGTAGCCCGCCTTTGAGGAGACGACTCAGTCGTTTCTTGGCTGCATCACCAATCCTTTTTTTTTCTTTAGGTTCAGTTGTTGTATCAGGAGTTAGGGAAATGAGAAGCTCTCGCTCCTGAACTAAATTTACAGGGAGGTAATAGTTACTTTATGTTTGTATTTTGAAAAAACTCCGAAGAAAGTTTCATACAAATTGATTTGTTCAACAATCACTGAAAAATGCTGTCAGAAAATACTTGAATCAGTAGGAATGTGAAACATCATAAGAAAATGTTGAAAGTAGTTGTTTCTAAAAGATTATCTTTCTAATCCAGTCATTTAAGCTTAAATTAGGTAAGAATCTCGGAATTCGAGATACCCAGCTGTAAGTCTGTAAATACTTGTATATTGACACCCTAAAAGTTGTCTCAAAACCTACATATGGTAGGGTGTAAGCAACTATTAACTTTCAAGGTCAAAGATCACAAAAATCGGTTTTTTGCGCTTTTTTTTTTAAATATCTCATTTCCTATGGGTTTTTTGCTATTTGTATTTATTATCAATATTGTAGAATACAAAATTCTCTACAAATTTTGTTTGACAAATTTTTTTATACGGTGAACCGTTTTCGAGATAGAGGGCGGAGAGCNAAATACAAATAGCAAAAAACCCATAGGAAATGAGATATTTCCAAAAAAAGCGCAAATAACCGATTTTTGTGACCTTTGACCTTGAAATTTAATAGTTGCTTACACCCTACCATATGTAGGTTTTGAGACAACTTTTAGGGTGTCAATATACAAGTATTTACAGACTTACAGCTGGGTATCTCGAATTCCGAGGTGAACTTACTATGATGATTGGACTATTCAGTTTGTATCTATTTTAATGTGTCATTATGAAATTCTTGTAAACTATAAGTGTTCCAGATTATGCCCTAAAGAAAATAACGCCGGCCGCCACTGGTAGCCATAAACCAACCGTGACGTAGCTAAGAGCGCGAACGTACGATATTCACTGTCGCTCTAGATGTAGCGAGAATGATGCTGCCGATTTCAATTGAATTTCAGCAAAATTTTCTAGCGCATTCAATTACGATATATAAACGCTAGCCATGAGCATATCGAGACAGTGGAAGTTACAGTGCGGTACGCGAAGTGATCTAGTAAGGCGATAGACATTCGAATAATAGTTGAAGTTTTAGTTGAAGTGTTTGTTGTATTTAAAGTCAAATGAAGTTAAGTCTGAATATTCAGTGTAGTCAATTATTGGTCAATCCACGGGGAAAAACCTAACAATAGGGTTTATCCAACAGGAGAGTTTCTACTCCCTTTCTGAAATGTTCTACGGAACTTATTTCTTCAATGTGTTTTGGTAAGTGATTGAACATCTTACCGTCTCCATGAATTACTGAATCTTTAATTAGTGTCAGTGATGTGATCGGGAGTTTAATGTTGCCAGCTTGACGAGTGGCGGGACGCGTGTATAGAAGATCCCAGGAGAGCCAAGACCCAAGAATTTCGTGATCCGCTGAATCTGACGCCCTTTGAAGATTTGAAAACCACATTCCGAGCAACGTCTAAATTGGTAGCAAATTGACAAAAACGACTCTCCTCAATAGAAACACTTAACATATTGTCTCTGGTCTGGATTCCTGGCTATTCTGGCGTGGAAGGCAATGAGGCTGCTAACTCCCTTGCAAAGGAGGGTGCTGCAAGCGGCTTCATCGGACCAGAACCTGTCATGGACCTAACCTAACCTAACATATTCTGTTTCAGAATCTATATCATTCTGAAATTGTGTAGCAATATCTAAAACTGTGGATTTTGTACCAGAGTCCTCGAAAATTATATATTCATTGGTTGTATGGTTGGCATGTGTATGCAATTTATGTAACAATAATCTTAAAATCGTACCATAATATATCAAAACTTACCAAACTTGTCCCCAAATCGAGATACTCTTGCACGCGTAGATCTTCGAAGTGGTCGCAAGTTTCTTCTTCTACCTCCAAGCATAGACTCATCACTGTCTTCGGATTCATCTTCTAATTCTTCATCTTCTTCTGAACTAGAACTAACAATGATATGATTATTCTGAGAAACATAAACACTTTTCAAATTCTTTTTTCAACTTTCATTTGATTGAACATCTAGTGTACCTGCTGCCTTTGAAATCTTCATCTTTCTCGTCATCTTCTTCACTACTTAAATCCAAATTGCACATTTTTCTGCCCTTTTTCCTAACTTTGAGACTTGTTTTACTACGTTGCTTAATGGAAATGTCTTTTTCAGATTTTGTTTCCACTATATTTTCAGCATTTGCTGCAAGTGAAGGCTCATCCTCTTCTATTTTGGAAGGTTCTGTCTTGTTTCTGGCTTCTATTTCTGCCTCAACAATCGTTGCCATATCTTTACCACGATGATGCATAGCTGAAATTATTTTTTCATGTTACATTTATTTATTTATTTATATACACGGGCAAGCCCAATTCAGATATAAGTAGTACAGTGCTATGTAGTACTTGATGCAATACAGTGGATTAAAAGTAAATTATAAGTAATTCATGAATGAATTGTGTGTATTTTCTATAATGTTATCCAATTTGGTACTGAAGAGCCTTGGGGCAAGTGTCTTAAGACGAAACATCGATGTATACCAGTGAGGATGACAGTGTTCCATGTAAGTGCAATTTGTTACCATTCATTCAAAGTAGAACTCATGTGAATGATATCTGATTTTATTCCACAACGAATGTTTGAAATACAAAATGAGTAGAGAAAAGTATCTTAAGTGTTCATATAGAAGTATTTGTTTCGAAAGAATTTTTTTCTTTCTTGTAATTAAATTTTTATATGAAAGTATCTGTTTCAGGAGGACTTTCTTTCAGTTTGTGTCTGAAAGTTATTTCTTTGCATGATCTACACATCCATGTATAGATTTACTTCCTTCCTTTCTTTGGAAGATTCCCTCATCATTTTTTTTGTATCAAGATGGAGTAGTAAAAAGCCAAAAACTTTCTTTCCCATACATTATAAGAATAATACAATTTCGAAGTAAGATAACAAGCAAATTATTTAAGAAAAATTAAAATGTATAACTGATGTAACTGATGAACTAATGTAATTTTTACAGGCAAGTAACACTAGACCCAAATACAACAACAATTATAAAGATGGCTAAGTGAAGAATATGGTTTTTGAAGTGGGATACTGATACATTAAAGATTTGAAGGTTATTTAAAGAGTTAGCCAATCAAAAAGTTCTGGGAATAAAGCTGTTATATGAATAATTAAACCTGTGAAAAGAAACGTAAAACGTTTGCACCTGTCTAGTTGAACGACTGGGGACATGTAAAGATATTTTGGAGAGAAGCTAGGGACTGATACTCAGTCCGTTGATAATTTTGAATAGAAGTATTAAATCTCTATGTTTTCTGCGAACCTCAAGAGAAAGTATGTTCAAAATGCATTCAAATACTGTATAGTTATAGTATATACGCATCTTGACGCAGGAAATTGTGCTTTACGGCCTTGAGTTTCACTTTTTGTGTAACGTAATGAGGAGACCAAACTGTGGAACAATAATCGAGATGAGATCTAACCAGGGAAAAATAAAGAGATTTAATAGCAGTGATGTTGGTGAAATCACGAGTGGTTCTCTTTATAAAGCCAAGCATCTTCATAGATTTTTGAATTACAGTAGAAATGTACGCGTGTTGCGGTTTTTGTAAAACCCTTCATAGTGAAAACCATACAATAAACTGTAATAGAATCTGACGATTCTTGAATATAAAAAACTCTGAAGAAAACATTACAGTGCTTGTAAAATTTCTGGACGATCCTAGAAACGAAGTTGCTACAGGATTCCAAGACATTGCAGAGATGGACAAGCCATCTCCGTTCCTTAAATCGCCTTTTGAAGTTGATGTAGCGGCAGAATGGAGAGATGTGGCTACCAAGTTGTTTGAATTGTTAAAACCATCACTTCAAATAGAGATAATTGATTTGCAAAAAGATGTATCTTTGCAAATGTATAAAACGGTATCCGCTGAATAATTTTGGACCAAACATGTCCCAGAAAAATATGAAAAGACACTGCTGTTCCTCTCGAGAACCAAACTATAAAAAACTGGCTCGAGACCGTAGGAACAGTTTCTCACATCAATTTTAGGCCTTGTTTTATGATTCAGAATTTGATTTGAAACCAAAATAATACATAGGTAGCACTCAATTATTATCAGTTGTTTTTTTCTGGACCTCATTAAAATTTTTGTACAGTTTCCGGACCCCACCTAAAATGGGGAATGTTCCTCAATTTGGGTTATTACAGCAAATGCAAGTTTGAACAAAATAAAGTTGAGTTTAATTCATGAGTTTTTCAAATTCACTTCGAAAAGATTCATTGTCCTTTATTAGCTATAACCGATGTTGCCAAACGGTTAAATAGAAACGAATCCCTTTTTAAATATTGAATGCATTATTTCATTCCTCTTTTTTTTAAGTACTTAAAATTTTTTTAAAGAAAAAGGTTGAAATGATGAGTTCAAAATGGGTTGTTTTAGAACTCTATTATGAAAACTACTTGATTTTCGTCAGGAGGAACATTCCCCATTACTTGCCGACCCCTGTTCTACATAAACTACGCTATACATAAAACTAAATGTTCTGATATGCGTTATACCTGAATAATAATTATGCAGGCAAAATTAATTATTAATTTTGAAACAACCAATCGGCCTTTCCAAAAATAAGAATAGGCTATACAAAAAGAGCCGAAACAGTGAACTAGGCCGCCAACTTACTTGGACACTCATCTCTTTTCCTCCCATTCGCTGGTACCTTCATCTTTCTTCCCCAAACCAACTAAACTTCAAACTGCAATAACTTTGTACCCGCATTTTTCTTGCTTACAAGACTACGCTATAAGATTCTATGTGTTATAATGTACAAAAAAAAAAACCTCAATCTCAAAATGTAATAATAATGGACCTTCATCTTTTTTTCCCTGACCTTCTCAATTTATGAGAAAAGTAATGACAATTTTTAACACTCGTAATTTTTTTATAATAAATAATTGTTGATAGTGGTTATTTCCAAGCATGATACTTGCTTCTGCGAGTCTTGTCATTGTGTATTCTTTCAAGTATCCTGGAGGTATCTGTTATAATTTGAGCAAGTATAGTTCAATCATAATTACCTATTCCCTGTTTCTCGTTCAGCTCGTCCTGAATAGCGGATTTGATGAGCTCGTCATACTCGTTGAACTTATAGCTCCTGGCCTGTCGTCGTTGCCGCAACTGATAGATAGGCTCATCATCGCTGCTACTTTCTGATTCAGAAACCGAGGATTCCGAGGCCGCAGAACTCGATTCTCTATTATCTGCAGAACTCCTCCTTTTACCTTTATGTTGTTCCTTCTCCCGGGACGGTAATACATTGTTCAGACTGATACCTACGTAAGCAAGCCGTTCTTTACGTCTATCTTCAATCCCTTTTTTGGTTAATTTTTTGTCATACTCTAGAAGTTTTGTGTGTAGATTCTCAACGAGTAAGACCTAAAATGAAAACTCATATTAAATAAAGGTATGCATTTTCATTTGTCAAGTAATACATAAAGTTCAAATTCAAAAAAAAAAGATGATTATTAAAAGAAATAATAAACGACTATTCAGAAGTTTAATGAACAATCTCTTCATGAAGTCGTCTTATTGCCATTTTTTTGAATTTTAAATATGACAAATGAAAAAGATCAAGTTCTGAAAAGTATGTATTGAAATTTTTTTGAAGCCTACAAATCCCAAATCGCATGAGCTTTTGACAGTTTGAAGAGTTGCATCATTAATGGAGTAGTTTCCAATGACAGGCTTTCTTATTCTATAAAATCTTAACATATTACATTTCTTAATGTTAACTTTTAGACAATTAGTATCACAGTAGGTACAAAAGCTATCTAGGTCATTCTGAATACATTCAATATCATTGGTAGATTGAACTGTTTTGAAAAACTTAAGGTCGTCCGCATACAGAGAGATATTACAGTGTTTAAACACTGATTTAACATCATTAATAAAGAGTAAAAATAATATAGGACCAATGTGCGAACCTTGCGGAACCCCTGGAGTCACATGAATTGTTCCTGACACACTGTCAGCTATCCTCACATTCTGCGACCTACCGGAAAGGTAGGATTCAATAAATTTCAAGTATCTGCCCGTTATTCCAAGATTATTAAGTTTTAAAATTAATAGTTCATGACAAACTGAATCGAAGGCTTTAGCAAGGTCCGTGTAGATAACATCAACTTGGAACCCTTGCTCAAGCTTATTTGTGATGAAGTTTTGGTAGACAGCCAAATTGGTGGCAGTAGTGGCAGTAATTCGAAGTTTTTTAAAAGCGTGTTTTTTAGATTTTTAAACTATATTTTTCATTTTTTTTTTAGTTTCGTATGCTATAAAAGCGTGTTTTTAGCCTTTTTAAACTATATTTATTTTATCTAAACTTTGGGATCAATCAGCCGTAATTGTTTAGAAACAATTGTATTGATATTTTCCAATTCCGGAGAGGGAGTCTCTGAAAATCAACTACAAAGCCCAAATAAGGCAGCAGGCGCGGATGTTAATAAAAAAAATACATGTAAAGTGAGTTCGAATTATATCAAGGAGGTTACATACAGCTCCATCTGCCCGCGAATAGATCAAGCAATAATGTGGATATATCAAGGAGGGTACGTAGAGCGCCATCTGCCCGCGAATAGATCAAGCATTAATGTCGATAATTCTGACAAATACAGATCCCGAGGTTGAGAGTTACAAACACAGAAAAAATTGCCGTTATTGGAATGACACCAACCCTCACGTTTTCCAGGAAACACATACCCAATATCCAGATAAAATTAACGTTTGGGCAGAAACATTGGGTATATTGTAGGACCTCTATTTATCGATCAAAATTTAACAGGGGAACTGTATTCGAATTTGCTGGAAACTACTGTTGACCCTCTCATCACTGAAATTGTCGAAGCTAATCCTAATGAATTCGATATGGATGAATTTCACCAATTGAAAATGAGTAGCTGAAAATAACAATTATATTAAGCAAAAATAAGATGTGCGTGAAATATGATGACTGCCAATCACAATCATACAGTAATGAATATGGAGTCCCTCAGGTATCCATTTTAGAACCTCTGATGTTCCTACTTTTCATCAATGATATGCCAAAACATGTGAATACTAACCGAATAATTTTATTTGCAGACAACACAACACTTTTGCAGATGGTGAAAGCCTGGAGGAACTCCAAGTTAAACTCAATGAGCTGTCTGTCGCATTTACAGATTGGTGACGCAAACACTCCTTGGTTGCAAACCCCAGTAAGATTGTTTTAATGCAGTTCTACTCTAGAACGGTCAGGAAAATTACCGATTTTCGAGTCAGAGTAAGTAGCCGTGATGTGATTTCCTCAGACAATACTAAATTCCTTGGTACCTATGTTGATAGTAATATGAATTGAGAGTCAGCTGTGAGTCAGGTCAGAAAGAAAGTGAACTGTGGTTATTATGTTATACGGCAACTTTCATCCACACTCAGTATTGATCAGCTTTTGAATGTTTATTATGCCGTAATTTATTCTCACATATCATACAATATCGCTGTATGGGGTTGCTCCACATCTATAAATAAAATTTTTGTTGGCCAAATGAGAGTATTGCGTTTGATTTACAAATTAGATGCTAGGGAATCTTGTAGACCACATTTTATCAGAGGCTTATCCTTGTGTCTCCGCAGAAGTAAGGTGACCTCTTGCTCTTGTTTGATAGTCGTATACTTCAGATGTAAAGGTACAAAACTACGTAATTAAATAAGTAAAAATTTGAATATGAAAATTATAACCATTTGATGTAACCTAATTAGACAAAACCACATACTCACGTGTTGACAGGGTGGACAAAACCATTCACCCTCTGGAATGCTGAGCAGAGGTGGATGCAAACAGGAACAATGCCAACCATTGTCACATTTATCACAGAGCAATATCACTTCCGGGTTATCAGATTTGGCACACTTCTGACACGGAAAATCTTCCTCTTCTTTTTCGTTTTCTTTGGAATCTGTAAACAGTTAAAGTCTTGACATGAAGTAAATATGAAATATTTTCACATACGATAGATCATTAACGTGTATCGTGTATAATCACATCTGTTTTGTGTTCACTCTGTTAATTATTTCATGTCTGTGATTTTCGTTATTTCAGCGTGTTTTTCACAAGGTCTCTTCTGCTTTTCAATTGATATATAGAGTGTTACCTAACTATGGTACGTTGAAGTATGAAAAAAGCGATAATTATAAAATATCATAAATATCCTTAGCCTGAGCTAGATTTAAATATCAGGTGCAGTGGCGTCTCAGTGGACACCCCAGCTAATAACAATAATATGTCCCCCAAATATTCAACAGCCCCAAAAACCTTTGTGATGCGTCCCCGCAATTTTGTGAAATTGATTTAAATGTTGATTAGTGTAATAATTCTCCAGTAAAAATTACCGAATGAATTTATTTAAAAAAGTTAAAGCCTGGACCAAGATATTCGGGTCTCTCAGTCAAAAAATCAAAAATCAAATCTCTGTTCTACTTTGCCAAGCTTTCGCTTCTAATGGGAAGCTTCTTCAGAGCAGTAAAAATGAGTTAAAAACAATAAATTGAACATATAAATTGACGGAGAAGGTTGAACATGTATAAGATTTTTTGGTTTTTTGACTGCATTAACCTTTCTAGATTTTATATCATTTCTAGAAACATGTGGATTCGTTTTCCAATGACATTTCAGATTAGCTTAAAAAAACCAGCTGATTTCGGCAAACAAGTGTTGCCCATTTACACTTGGCTGCACCACGCTGATGAGGTCAACAGCCAGAAACAACCTGAGTTAAGACGCTCTGACCGTATAAAGAGGCAGACAACGGGATGACCAGTTTAGTTTGAAGGGTGCCTAGAAGCTGACAGTACTACCAACTGTCGAAAGCGCTCGCAGATAATTATCTTTTTAGCTGCCCGAGCTTTCGCTAATGTTCATTAGCTTTATCATTATAATTGAAAATAGAAATTCTTTCAGAGTATTTCATTCCTCGTCTTAAGTTGGAGCGAACATAAAAAATGTCACTCCATCTACGCGGTACTAACCAACTGCATATCCGAAATTTGCCCGATTCCTCTGAATAAGGAAGAAAAACTTTCTTATTAGTCAGTGGGCTATGCTTGAAGACAGGCAGTGAACAAATCCAAAGAAATGAACTTTAAATGTTCAAGCCTGTCTCGGATATACCTAGACAGTAGGTTGAATGGACTGACGCCTATCAGAAAACAATTACTCCACTGGCTAATACCACGAACGGCCTTGGATTATATCAGACATGCGTCAGTGCAGGAATCTTCACAGAAAATTTTCTGCACATGCAATTGGCAAGGTCGACTCTTTCAGTTGTATTACCAATTGCATGTGCAGGAAATTTTCTGTGAAGATTCCTGCACTGACGCCTGTCGGATATAATCCAACGCCGTTCGTGGTATTAGCCAGTAGAGTAGTTGTTTTCTGATAGGCGTCAGTCCATTCGACCTACTGTGTAGGTAGTTCATTTCTTTTTTGGAGAAGTAGAAAGCATAAGAGTATATTTTTGAATAATGTTTTGGTTGGGATTAAATTGTAAGACCCATCCTATTAACAATTCCATGCCTCACTGTATCAATTCTCGAAAATCGATACTTGGCATGTGGGAGATGAAAATGAATAACATTAGTGAAAAAATCCCACCTTCGTCATATTTTTTTCTAGCCGTCCTTGCTCTTTTTGGCGGTTGATATTCATCAGCCGAGTTCAAATCACTTTCTGGCGAGAATTCGTGATCCGACTTAAATTCCAATGGTGGCTCTTCTTCTATAACTTCCTCTTCATCTTCCACTTCTTCTCCGTCTTCCTCACTGGATTCACTACTTGATTTCCAGGGTCGGAATTCGTCAAATATTTTATTGGGTGCTTTCATCTTTTTTCTCTTTTTTTTAGTTTCATCGGGATCTTGTTCTGTTTCAGAAGATAAAACTATGATGTCTTTCTTGGATTTTTTTGTGACCTACAAAAGAAGAATATCAACTTAAAGTTTGTTTTTTCTTCTGATCTCACTTCTTAAACTTCAATGAATAAACTCTTTATTCAGTTGAAAAATCGGAATTATATTATAATATTTCAATGTTATTATTAGGTTGTTTCAAAAGTTATGTCCGTCTTAATGCGTCAGCATTAGGGACCAGAAATTCTATTAATTTGTATCAAAGTGTGTGTTTTTTTAGTCTTCTTAAACTATATTTATTCTATCTAAACTTTGGGATCAATCAGCCCTATTGATATTTTCCGATTCCGGAGAGGGAGCCATAAAATCAGCTACAAAGCCCAAAGAAGGCAGCAGGCGCGCAAAGGAGGGTTACAAATAAGGCAGCAGTCGCAGTCAAATGAAGAAATACGTGTAAAGTGAGTTCGAATTATATCGAGGAGGTCATACAGCGCCATCTGCCCGCGAATAGATCAAGCAGTAATTGATAGTTACATACAGCGCCATCTGCCCGCGAATAGATTAAGAAATATCAAGGAGGTTGCGTAGAGCGCCATCTGCCCGCGAATAGATCAAGCAATAATGCCGATAATTCTGTCAAATACAGATCCCGAGCTTGAGAGTTACAAACAAACCAATATACATACATACAAAGAGGTGAAGCTAATAAAAGTGTGTTAAAAATAATAGATTTTTTGAAACTATTTTTGTTATAACTTTCAAACCGCTAGTTATCTACTTCTTGAGGAAAAATCACATCATGAAGAGTGTTCTAATTAAATACCTTTTCTTTTTTCTTTTCCTTCTTTTCTTCTTTCGGTTTCGTTTCCGGTTTTTTATGTTCTGCCTGTTCTTTAATCTTTATTTGTGCTAATCGTCTTGATTGCCTTACACTGTTCAACTGTATCTCAGTCACATCCAATCCTGCTAGTAGTCGTTCTGGAAATATTAATTAATATTAGCTATGATATCAATCATTTTTCACCATTATGAAATCGGTGATTTATTTATGTCAAGCTATGAACAAATTATTTCAATCTATAATCTTGGTAACAATGTCAGTTTATTTGAGAGGGCTACATTTGAAATATCATTTAGTGGCTAATTATTGTTTAAAAATTACATAATACTGCAGGAGGGGTATATTTGAAATATCATTTAGTGGCTAATGGTTGTTACTGTTAAGAATAAAAACCATTCCAAATTCCTGGGAATCTTCATGGATAACAAATTAAAATTTGATCAACATATTTCAGCTTTGAATAAAAAATTGGCATCAGGATGTTATGCTTCAAATGAACTGAGTTCATCCATAACAAAAATAGTATATCGTTCCCTGATTGAGTCCCACCTGAGATATGGTGTTGTCTTCTGGGGATTCTGCAGTCAACAACTTTTTCATTCAGTGTTTGTTTTGCAAAAGCGAGCGGTTAGATACTTATGCAAAGTGGGAGTGCGTGAGTCATGCAGACCATTATTTTTGAGAGAAAAAATTCACACTGTTACTTGTATTTTCATACTGAAAACTGTTTGCCTGATTTTCAAAAAACATAATATGTTTGGAACTCCGGAACATATAAATTACATTGCAACAAAAGCGTACTACAATCTTGATGAATATTACAATGGAACTTTGCTGTGATTTAATTTAGGTGTTTTTTTGTTGTTTAAATTGACACCTATACTTTAAATTATATTTTATACTGAGATATATCTTATTTTATTGCCATGACATGTGAACTTATGTTCAAATTGTGCATATTTGTTATTTACATTTTTTGAAAGGGACTATATAAACTATTTTGTCTTCATCTTTGTTAAATTTTATTTTTTATTGTTATATTTTATGGGTATTTGTGTTTTTGAATTNATGTTTCACACATTTTGAAACATGTGAAATATTCAGCCACACTACAGAGACTGAATTTCCCGTCAATTTTGCAATCGAAACTTTGAGTGCTTTGAAGATAAATTTTGATACACGTTTTTCAGATTTTGATATCATTGCGAATGAAATAAAGCTTTTTCAAAATCCTTTTGATTCTGACATTGAAACCTTGGCTCCGGAAGTCTAAATGGAAATTATTGATTTACGGTGCATTGATATGCTTGAGAACAAATATCAAAATTCATCTTTGTTGGAATTTTATAAGAGTCTTCCACTGGAACAATTCGATAATTTGCATAAATTTGCTCGTGGGTTGTTTTCTGTTTTTGGTACTACTTACTTGTGTGAGAAAACGTTTTCCAAGATGAAGTACACAAAGAATGTTTACAGATCTCAATTAACCGATGAGCATCTTAAATCTCTTTTGATAATTGGTACAAGTAAAATTGATCCACAACTACAAAGTATTGTCGGTGGAAAATCACAATTACATAAATCTCATTAGTGTTTTTGTTTTACTGTGATTCATTTTAATTATTTGTTAGTTATTAATATGCTTAAACTTAGATACTCAAGTTAAGTTTTCTTTGTCATCATTTCTGTCGTTAAGTTTAACCTTGCAAGTAAATAAAACCGAGTAATTATCATTGTGTTTTCTTCTTCAATTCATCACAGCAATAGTAACAACAATTAGGTAATCATTGGCTGTCGCGGGCCAGATTGATGACACTGGCGGGCCGGATTTGGCCCGCGGGCCGTAGTTTGGAGACCCCTGATTTAAAGTATAAAAGGACCAAAGACAATGAGCTTCAATAAAACATATACCACATATACTATCCTAAACTAAACATGTAACTGAGTTTTAAAATAATGCAAGATTTTAAACATCTCAAGATCAATGTTACTATTGGCTAATCTTAAGATTCTTGGAATGCAGCTATTGAATGCATGGTTTGGACGATAAAATGGTACACAAAAAGTTTGTTGCTGTCGAGTTGAGCAGTTCTGAACATGTAGATACATTTTTTCTAGGAGTTCAGCGCAACTGCATTTGCCGTTAATAATATTGAAAAGTAGTATCAGGTCTCTCTGTTTTCTCCTACTTTCCAGGGAGTAGCAACTCATATTTTATTTGATTAACAGACTCCAAGACATAATCATTTAAGGTATAAACAAAAGTGTTAATGTAGTAATGGTAATGTAGCAAGACAGTTTTTGCTATCAGAAGAATTAAAAAAATAGTAAATCAAAGTGCGGCACTTGCAACATATCATTCATTTTTTCATTCAGTCCTTAGGTATGGTATAATCAATTGGAATAATGCATCAAAGGTACATCCTAATAGAATATTTGGCATTCAAAAATCAGCACCAATTATGATGAAAAGTGTCGACCAATATTTGCAAAACTTAAAATAATGACCCTATACTCAGTTATTGTCTATGAAAATATGTTTCTTGTTCAGCAAAACTTGATGAATAAAGTTGCTCACAAGGATATACACCAACATGATACAAGAAATAAATTGAACCTTGTTCCTACAGCTAATAGGTTGAAAAGAACAGATAATAATGCCTTATCTGTCGAATTTCGTAACTTGCCATTCAGAAGATTCAAAAACTTATTGAAGAAAATATTAACCAAACATCCTTTATATGAAATTGATCAATTTTTCGAAGTTATTCAAGAAGAAAGAGACACTTTTGTGGTCACCTCCCGAACTTTTACTCAACTTTGAATATACACGGTGTAACTGAATAAGTGTAAAACATTTAAGGAGGTGATTCCTCATCGAAAAAAAGATAGGATCTTTCATATAAAGAAACTTCGTTGGAGCATCCCTTGTTAAGATACAGCCCCTTAAATGGGGTACATAAAATTTGTATAACAATTTTTTTCACAAGCACTAAAAAAGTTACAATATTGAATTTAACCTGACGTTTCGTACTACCAAAAAGACACTTAGCCAGTAATTTATTTGGTTTACCCCATGGTTATGAGGGGTGGAAAACGCAACCCCTGAAATTTATTTCCAATATAACTATTTGTCCTATTATTTGTTTACCATTTAAAAATTCATTTCCGATAGCCTGTTTCATTCTAAACAAAAAATGTCTCTTGGGTTTTTTGCCCAAAATAAACCAGTTCGCAGCAAAAAATTATTTTACGAAACAACTACAGAGATACATCGTCATAAATGCGAACTGGATTTATTGTTATTTTGTAGTTAGTACCTGCATTAAACGATTAAAGGTTAATAAACAAAACCAATTTATTAATAACAAAACACACAACATGTATAAATCATAGTAAATGTTCAATATGTCTACCTTCAGACATTACACATGCGTCTAGACGTCGGCGCATTGAGCCACGTATTCGCTCAAATATTCCTGGAGTCTCTCTGATTACCCTGCACGCATCGATGATGCGGTTTCTTAAGTCCTCTACATCGCGAACAGGAGTACGATAAACCAAATGCTGTANTACATGTTTGAGTGAAATACAACAAATTAGGTATCATATGTTTCTTTAGACTAATAAAATTATTATTATTATTATTATTATTATTACGGGATCGATGAAAGCGCATTCAAGTCCATACCATTTAAGAAGCACCAGGCATCAACCTAACCTAACCTAACCTAAAACATTCATCATAACGCAAAAATAGTATGTGAAACGATTGATTATTTGGGGGAGAAAAAAACATTGAGTTGTTGACTCATGTCCTTTATTTTTTGACATCTAACAACTCTTAAATCACCCCAAGCTGCTGAAGCCTTGCAAAACCATATTTTGAATATCAACTTCAAAGTGGAAAAACTTTCAAAATTTGGTTCGAACACATGCAAAATTTTACAAATCTCAAGACAAATATTTAGTTTGGTCCAAAAAAAAATTCTTCCTTACTCTCACAAAAACTTTAAAAGTGACCTTCGTACGATACTGTGAAAAAACTTTGACTTCTTGAAACCTATTTGAAAGAAACGAATGATAAAACTCACTGTGTACTTCATTTGTTCAATTACCGGTGAATTTACCAAATTTGAAAGACTGGTGAACTAATTTACATTCAAATAAAGTTTTCAAGTAGGCTTAATAAATAATTTAATACTCGACAAAATACTACTTCATAACAAGAAGGATCGACTTACTGTTTTTATTTTCTGGATGTCTTACAATTTCACTGCTCTTTTTCTTTATTTTAACTGGATATTTGGATTTGGGAGAACTTTTGTTAGTGGAATCATCATCGCTTATTTTGTTCTTCGTTGCATCCTTCTTCCTCACGATTGCTCCTTTTTTTCTCTTCGGCCTCAAAATTGGCTTCTCCGTTTCGCCGTCTTCATTCAAAATGATAACTGAATCGTCATCGCTACTGCTCACCTGCTGTTCTTTCTGTTGTTCAATACTTTTGCGTAACTTCGGATCCATCTGTCGCTTTCCCTTTTAATAGACAACATTCAAATGTATTAACAAATGTACAATATCAAATAAATGTCAATAAATATTAAAAAAAAAAGTTAGTACATGCATATTATTTTAACACAGTCTGCTAAGTGTAAACCCTTGTGTTTGATTGGGTTAATTGATAAATAAAGATAATGACAACTGTTGATATTGTTCTGAAAAAAATGAAATGAAATTTATAAACAATAGTATTTTAATATGAATTATTTCAATGTGAGCCAAAAAAGTCATTATAAATGTTAAATATGTACTGCCAAATTATGGACTTATTGAATTTTTGATGGGGCAGAATTGATCAAACCTTTATGAAAAAAATTAGAGATATTATTAAAGTGGTTTCTAAAAATCATGTACAATAAAAATATAAGATATTTTTGGGAAAAAAAAAGTTGAGCTTCACTTCACGATTTATTTTCCCAAGAACCATACAATGCTTATAGCAGGGAAAAAACAATAATAAAAAAACATTACTAAGTACGAACAGAGAACCAAAAAAAAGCTAAATCAGAACTGAAACTTATATAAAGTGCATTTCTTATGCCCCTCCCTTTTTTTTTGAACGGGCCAATTAAAAAAATTGAAATATGGTATAATGAAATCAATGCATGACTACTTTATTTTGAAGTGAAATTGACAGATGAAACTTTCAAGATGGCAACTGGGCGCCATTTTGGGAAAAAAATAAATGGAAAGGGGAGGCTTGTGACACATCATTTCGAAACTCCTAACGAATACGTCACAACCCTAGAATATGAAGTCAATATCGTCACCTACTACAAAATGGTGGAACATTTAATAATTTCCTGAAGACAAACACATTATTATCGATATTTTCATTAATATTCCTTTTTATCTGCCATATGGCAGATATTCCTCTGTATTCCTCTGAACCCATTAATACTCTTCAAGAAACCCTATCTCTACTCTTCCGAAGCAGCTTTCCCCTCGTGACATTAAGGGAAAAAAGAAAAAAGCCATGGATGTCTCTAGGAATAAAAACATCAGCTGCAAACTTCTGATCACTGAAATTGATTAAAAAGCACAAACAGTGAACTCATTTTGAATTATATTAACATATTAACAATAGATTTGAACAAAATCTGTATTATTGTATGGAAGCAAATGGGTCACATTTTCAGCACTTGCTGAAGTAGGATTCTACTACGTCAATTACACATTTCAAAGTACTGGGTTGTAGTTGTTTTTCTTCATAATACCTACATGTTTGAGTGAAATAGAACAAATTAGGTATTATTGGAAAGAGAATTTTGTGCCCTTTCAAATGATATATCACTCGACCCCACTTTCCATTCAAAATTTTAGGGTTGTTATTCACCCTCGCTAGGGGGTTGAAGGCACAGGTAGAAAAATACATCTAAAATGTTTCCCCCTCAAAAGCAAAATTGACCTTTCCGAGCATTTTTGCGTTAAGTTACAAAAAAAGGAGAAAAGCAAGGTGCATACTTTTCGTTGGACCACTCAATATAGGACTAAATGACGATGAAGCTGTTGGAGAATGACGGTGAAGCTGTTGGAGCTGTGTTCTGTGACTTCTCCAAAGCCTTTGATTGTGTGGATCACAGTATACTGCTCAGAAAGTTGAAATGTTATGGGTTCAGAGGGGTTGCAAATAAATGGATTGAATCATACCTCTCCAACAGAACTCAAATTGTTAACTTCCATAATAAATTCTCTGATCCTTCAAATATTGAATGTGGTGTTTCTCAGGGTTCAGTTCTTGGGCCAATTTTTCCTTGTTTATCTGAATGATCTCCGTAAACTCGACATTCGAGGATCATTTACAATGTTTGCGGATGATACCACATTACTGTGGCATGATAATAATGTTGAACTTCAGAAATCTAACATTTCCAAGGATTTAGAAAAGGTTAAACAATGGTGCGATGCAAACTTGCTTTGCTTCAACATTGAATAAAACCAGCAAATTGACATTAAAGTTCATGTATAATGACCTTTATCTAGGCAGGAATATTGTTATCAACAAATCACATACTTCTTAGGAATCTACTTAGATGATAAATTAAAATTTGAGGAACACATAAGAAATCTAAATAAAAAACTAGCCTCAGGTTGTTATGCTATTAGAGTGATAACTAATGAACTGGGCTTTAATGCTGGTATAATGGCCTACTTCTCCTTTATTGAATCTCACCTGCGATATGGTATTGCCTTTTGGGGATTTGGAAAGAACCAGTTGATGAATTCAATTTTTGTATCTTAAAAAAAAAGCAATTCGATACATTTCTAAAAGTAAACCTAGGGACCACTGCAAACCACTCTTTCTCAAACATGGATTTTTAACTGTATACTCCATATTCATCTTAGAAACAGTCTGCCTAATGCATAAGTCCAAAATATCTAAAGAAACAGTATATAATACAAGACAAAGTGATAATATTTATCTGCCTAAACCTACAACGTCTTCAACTAAAAATTCCATTATATTTGAAAGTATAAAGTTATATAACCATTTACCTAGTCTCTTTAAAAATATCACAAACTATCCATTATTTCGAACGACCGTTAAAAATGAAAAATGCATTCTACAGTATACAGGAGTATTATATTGACAATCTGGCTTAGTCCTGAAAAGCCTTGAATTTGTAATGTTTGTCACTTATAATTTTTACCGTAACTTGTATCAACTTTGCTTTTATCATTCTTAAAATTTATGTACATATATATGTTTTATTTTTATTTTATTTTGATTGACATATCATCATACCTACTGATTGATAATTGTTAGTTAGTCTTAGTTTTAATACTCTATTTATAAGATATTAATTTCGATATTAGAGTATATTTCACCTCAACTTCATATGACTATGACTATATTTATATTTTTTATGTTTATAATTGATTTTTATTTATGTTTGTATGTATATTACTTATATATTTAGGTTTCATGTTTATACTTACTATCCATTCTATATAACACGCTTTGTCAATAAGATTTATTCTTGGACAATAAAGTATATTTTGATTTGATTTATTTTTTGTTCATAAAAACGACAAAAAATGTCAGTACGACAATGAACATCATTGTTCAGTGAGAATATTGAGTGAGAAAATTGAATTGAGTTTTATTTACGGTGCGACGAGTAACTTTCACGAGACCGAAAGGGTTTTTCAATGAACGTTTTCCGAATCGTCCTATCTGTAGAAAATATTTGAGGGAACTTGTATCCAAATTAACAACTACCAGTGGTGTACATAACAAAAAGCCCCCAGGTCATCCGTCCATTCCGGAAGAACAGCAAGTTCAAATAATTGGTGAGATGGTAGTAAATCCTGAACAGTCTACTTATTCCGTCGCGAATGTTTGTGAGGTGTCTCCTTCTACTGTGTGGAGACTTTTGAAGAAGTTCAAGGCAACCATTTCGAGCATCTTCTGAACTGACTTCAAGTTTATTACCTCATATTATGTAGTTCAGACAATGTATTCAGACAATTATTGAAAGTTCCGCCATTTTGTAGTAGTTGAAGATATTGACATTATATTCTTGAGTTATGAAGCATTTATCAGCAGCTTCAAAAAGATGTATCACAAAACCCCCCTTTTCATTTGATTTTTTCCGAGATGGCGCCATCTTAAAAGTTTCATCTGTCAATTTCACTTCAAAATAAAGTATTCATGCATTAATTTTATTATCCTAAATTTCAATTTTTTTAGTTGACCCGATAAAAGGGGGGCGGAAGATTAAAGAAATGCACTGTATACAAAGGGTCAATTCCAGGAACTATGTCGATCGATTGTGGGAAAATTATAATTAGAAAGAATCTGAATATACTAAAGTCGATGGGGGCAACTCCTCTAAAATATTTTCAAAATGACGACACTTCTGGTTATACCGGAAGTAGGTGTCAACTTCGTTATTTTAAAATGGAACACCCTATATATTATTACATTCTACATCAGAATCTGAATACTTTTTGTGTATAATGTCATAAATCTGAGCCTAACCGTTTTTGACATATCCAAAGTTTTATGTCAAGAATGTTTGTAGACCCTACAATAATTATCAATTTTTCCTATAAGGAAACCTTTATCGGATTTCTTGTAGAAGGAACCAAATTTAATAGACTTTATATGAAATTCCGATAATTACGTACTAATACAGGGTGGTCAATAAAGAAGAATATAAATGAATTTAATAAACCGTCAAAAGTCACTTTTTTCAAATGGAAACCCTCCATTTTTATGATTTAATCTTATTAAGCATTGAAAATAAGGGTAACTTTGTATAAGGATAACTATTCCGAAAATTAGTAGTTTTTGAAATATTTGCAATTTAATATTTTTCTGTTAGTTGGCCATGAGAGTACATTCATGGATTATTCCAAAGAAAAAACAGGAAAATAATTTTGAATAAGTGCTTGATGATTTGCAAACAATACACAGTTTTGAAATAAAAGTGTTGAATAAAAAAAAAGTACATATACCGTACCAATAATACCTTCATTGAACAAAACAAATTTTGAATAAATATTTATTGCTTCGTAAACAGGATGGTTTTTATTTCTTTTTTGAATATATACAATTATGTTGAATAAATGTCTACTTTCTGAGACATTTGATTAAATTTTTTTTTTATTTATTTATTGAATTAGGATTCCCTAATACACAGGTTAGCTAACTTAAATGTATAACACATGCAAATAAAGGAGATTCCAAAAAAAATATTAGTTCCCGGACTATCTTCCGAAAGTAGGAGTAGCGCTATTCCAGAACACCCCCACTCTTTCACTTTTGCCGTCATACAGTCGACCAATCAGAGGCTACCACGCGTACAGCAGGAAATTCAAATCAGTAGATGAACAGAGAGACTACGAGCCCAAAATTCCTTTTTTTATGGAGCTAAACTGTTTGCAATTTTCATGATATCCGAGCGGAATCTTGTGGAACACCCACAGGAGTAGCGCTACTTTAGAACACCCCCACTCCTTCACTTTTGCCGTCATCCAGTCGTCCAATCAGAGGCTACCGCGCGTACAGCAGGAAATTCAAATCAGGTGATGAACAGAGAGACTACGAGCCCAAAATTCCTTTTTTTTATGGAGCTAAACTGTTTGCAATTTTCATGATATCCGAGCGGAATCTTGTGGAACATCCAACTCGAGGTAGGTGTGTTTCGGAGAGTGGGTTGAGTAAACGATTGACCAATACCCGTACGTCGACGAAATGCAAGATCTGCCAAAACCATCGCCGTTGTCTGTGAGAGTGTGCAGGAGAATCTGAGGCAGTTGATTTTGCGTCACTTTATGAATATATGCATAAGAAAATATCGGAAAAACTATATTTTTTCAGTAGAATAGCACAAAATTTGTCAATGCAGTCCATAGTAACAGTTTACAATATCATTATTCAACCAAACTTTGATTATTGTGCGTCATTATTATTTTTAATCAACCTGAATAAAGTATATATGCTACAAAAACTACAGAATCGGGGGATGAGAGTAATCTTGAAAACAAATCGTCGTACTCCCATAAAAAATATGCTTGATTGTTTGAATTGGTTATCAGTTGAAAGTACACTCTACTATTTTACAATGACTCTCATATACAAAATTGTAAATGGAATGGCACCAGAATATTTTAAAGAGTACATCAAATTCAATAAAAACATTCATAATTATAATACAAGAAATTCCAATAATATACATATAAACAGACCGGAATTCGGAAGTACTATTTTTCGTTATTCGTTATTTTTCAAGGGCTTCCACGAGTTCAATGAATTACCGGAAGAAATAAAAAAAAATCCATTTTGAAAGATTTTAAAAGAGCACCTGAAGTTTTCAAAAAAAAAAAAAAGTTATAGAATACACATTGTATAGTTATGTAGAATTATTTGGGACATTATTGGCTATCATCTATTGTTTTTAATTGTTCATTAGGGTATTTGTATCTGTAATGAAACCAAATATCACTGTTTCAATAATAATTTAATGTATATATGTACCTATATTTCATTATTTATTTAAATGTTACTTCAAATTAACATATGATACTGAAATCTTTATATACAATGTTCATTGCCTGGCTACACGCTAGTTTAAATTTCAAATTGTTTCAATTTCAAATTTATTACATAATTTCTTTCATATATTTCATTGTGCTAGTGTTATTATTACACTCATAGATATGTATATTAAGTTTCCTATTTCAAATATAGATATATTACATATTACTATTAACACACGAAAACCCTTTTCGTTCATTTTCTTCAACCTAACAAAAGTCGCCTCACTCAAAATGTTCTATCCTAAAAACTAGTAGTCCAACAGCTATGAAATTCGTACACGTGTCTATGAAGGTTGGGGCTGACTAAAAATCATCAATACAGGTAGCGCCATCCGTTTGTTAGCCTACGAACTACTTTTCAGCCCACCTAATATTTCTGTTATTACTTCTTTCCTCACTTTCATGCATAATACTTTTAAGTTGGTAATAGTTCCCGATCATTAGCATTTGATGTTACCTAAGATAATAAAACTGAATTGAATTACTGTTTTCAAAAATTGTAGTTCATTGTAGAATGTCCTGTAAAGTAACATACAGTGATTCAGTAACAATCTGTACCAGTTCAAATACTCAGATTATTAGAGCTCAAAAAACAGTTTCAAGATCTATTATTTATATACCTTAATCCAAAGACACTTTTTATCTATCTTTTTATCTACGAAAATGTCCAACAACTTTAAAAAAATGCTGATACACTTTATAAAAATGACAGAACTTCTTTGAGACAACTTCTATTTGTAGCTATTTGTCACAAGTTATCTTTATCAAACTCACCTTAACTTTTCTTCGCTTTCCTTCATTTTCCGGCAAAGACTTTGGCGAAGGGCTCACTTCTCTATCTCTTTTCCTCAACAGTCTTGTAGAAGGAATGACCGGAATGGGAGGCGGTGTCGATGAATCATTGTAATCAAATGAAAATGTCTGCAAATTAATCGGCTTCGGAGGAACTTCCTCTTGATCTGATTCGGCCAGCGGATCCTTTTCGGGTGCCTCCAAACTGTTGCTATCTACTGATCCACCGAATGTTATAATAGAATCCGCATTTGATCTTGGAGACGACACTACAGAATTAGGACTTGACACGCCTTTTCCGGGCTTCGTGTCCTGAATTTTTTCAGAACATTTGGTTAGACCTACATTAAATGAAAATTTATAACTCATAAAGTATAGGTACATACAGTGCGGACGTAAAAATTCACTCTCCTCTGCTTACAGGAGGAAATATCAAGGTCGCAAAAAGTTTACATGAAGAGGCAACATTTTTTGTATTTTATTAGCACGAGGGTAGTCCCGAAGTACCCGGCCCAAAGAAAACACAAAAATTTTGGAAAATTTTCATTTATTTTTCAACATAATCTCCTTTGCAGCTTTATACACTTTTACCAGCATCGTTAAATAAGTTCAATACAATAAGAACTGTCTTTCTCCTTAAAATAGCCATCAACTTCCAACATCACTTCTTCATTTATTGATTTATTTATTTCATACAATGTAGTTGGCCAAAGTGATATACACTGTCCGCCACTCGAGATGGAACACTCCATTTTTACGGTAAAACATATTAGGGGGCAAAATAGACTCAAAATTCTTTCAGATTCGTGATCAGGACTACCAACTAACTGCGATTAAACTTTTTTCCTGAAAAATGCGAATTTGTCTCACTTCTTATGGAAACACCCCCGTATCTTCCGTAATATTCGAGGTGGAACGATGAAACTCTCAGGACTGATGGAAATGCTCAAAATGCACCTACCACCTGAATGGGGTTGGCCAAAGTGATATACACTGTC